CAATGCAGAGGTTGGTTTTGAAGTGGCTCTAAAACATTCAAGTGTCAATAACCAGTAGAGAACTGGACAAGAGCATTACTGGGGGAGAGTGGGATTTGGGAGTCACTGATGTGTAGATAGTTCTTGAAACTACACACGTGGTAAGATCACGTAGGGAGGATGTTTAGAGTGAGGTGAGCTGAGTCAGTGCTGACATGTAAGTAGGAAGTTGAAGAAGATGAAGAAGGTGCGGTCAGAGACTGGAGAAGCCCAAGGCAACAGTGGTATCATAGGAGGTAAGAGTATAAAGATGGGGATGATCAGTGATGCCAAAGCCATAGAGACAAGTGAGAGAATAGCTAGAAACTGAAAGTGTCATCATACTTGGAAGTATGCAAGTCTTTTGTGACCCCAAGGGTGTAACGAGCCAGAAGCAGATTGTACTGGTTATACAGGAAGTAGGGAGAAAAGACGGGCTGTTCTTGTAGGAATTTGCTTTGAAGAAAAGGGGATAAACAGAAGCGCCTGGTTGAGACATGAAGCTAAGTGAAGGGTTTCATTTCTTTCTTTTTTTTTTTTGTATGAGTAAAACTAGAACATGTTTCTAGTCTTCCAGAGAAGGAATGGAAAAGGAATTACTGATGATAAAACAGGGAAGAGGTCTGATCCATCAGGAACTGGGAAGAAGGGATAAGAATAGAGGAAAGGGGAATGACTTTCAGGTAGAAGAAGCAAGACTCCTTGAACTAAATTGGAGAAAAGGGGACATAGGCGAGCAGAGATGCTGATAGAAAGTTGTAGCTGCTGGTCTCCTCTTCAGGAAGCAGGAAATTGCAGTGCTAATCAGCCAAAGATAAGAAAATTGAAATGAGGAGAATGTTTGCAAGGAGAATGGCAAAAACATCTAAAAGTATCCATTGCAGGCAATCAGAGAATAGATGTTAAAGTCTTGCCACACAACTTTGAGAAGCCAAAGTAGAATTTGGAAGAGATAAATTTGTAGTCACAGTAATAAAGCTTTCATCAGCAATACTCAGTCTGGGACCAAAAGGGGAGGACAAGAGTGTGTTACTTCAGCCAGGGTATACAGGTTGGTAGGCAGATAAGCCAGAAGGAAAAGAAGGCAGGGAAATTAATGTGACAGTCAGAACAATTAAGGAATGGAAGATTCTATTTTAGGTTTGGCAGAGATGTGAGTTTAGTTGAAAGTTAGTGGTTAAATATATGGTACGGTTTCTCAATAGAATTACCATATAATCCTACCATATAATTCAACCTGGCTGGGGAATCTACTAGCCAAAGAAAATAAAAGCAAGAGCTCAGGTAAGTCTACATTTGTTCACAACAGCCTTTTTCAGAAATAGCCAAAAGGTGGAAAAAATCCAGATGTCCATCAACAGATGGATGGATAAAGAAAATGTGGCATATACATACAGTGGCATATTATTCAGTCTTAAAAAGGAAGGAAATTCTGACACATTGCAACATGGATGAATCTCACAGATGTTATGCCAAGGGAAATAAATCAGTCATAAAAGGACAAATATTATGTGATTCCACTTATATTCGACGTACCTCGAATAGTCAGTCTCACAGAAAAAGAAAGTATCATGGTAGTTGCCAGGGGCTGGAGGGGGTGAATAATGGGAGTTATTGTTTAATGAGTATGGGTTTCAGCTTGGGAAGTTGAAAAAATTTTGGAGATGGATTGTAATGGTGATTGCACAACAGTGTGAATGTACTTACTATTACTGGAGTAGTATTACTATAACTGTACACTTCAAAACGATTAAGACGACAAATTTTATAATACAGTTGTTTTGCCACAATGAAAAATATGTGGTGGATAAAGGACCTCATGTCTTAATACTGTTGGTAAGAGCAAATATTATATTCAGAGGTATGAGAAGATGTATAGATAATCATGGTTAAAGAATTGGGTATTAGAAGTTTAGGTCTCAATAATGAAATAATTTCAGATTATTATAATGTCTGGAACAACATCTCTCATCTAAAGAAGTGGGCAGGCAGACTTCCCTGGTGGCCCAGTGGTTAAGACTGAGTTTCCACTGCAGGGGGGCATAGGTTCAGTCCCTAGTTAGGGAACCAAGATTCCACATGCTGTGACTTGCCCCAAAATTTTTTTAATTAATTTAAAAAAGGAGATGCCAAAACATATCAGCATTTTTGAGTGTGGAGGACGTGCAAGGGAGGCAAGGGATGGGGTGTCCTCTGCTTGTCCCAGCTGGTTCTGGTATTTTCCTCTCCCCCTGCCTCTTCCTCCAGAATGCTAGAGCGGAAAGGAAATGCAGAGCTTTTGTGTGAAGGATGTCAAGGCTGGAGAGTGGACTCGACATGTCCATGAGCACTGAGGTTGTCACAGATCGGCAGCCAAACTTGGAAAGTGAGAAGGACCAATAGCTAAGGCTTTAGGATGACAGGGACACATAGAGGAGTGTATGGCTGGACTCCATGAGCCTCAAACATGTCACTTTTTACCTAAGGATAGAAGAGCTGTGGGGTCTTGGGACGATGTGCAGGGGAGTGAGAAGAGTGACCACTGTTAGCCCCACGTGCTTTTTCAGCAATGGGAATACTAAGAAAATGGACAGTCTACTTGAGAAAGCCCTCAAGGAAAGTGAGACCCTAGGGCAGTGGTTCTTGGACTCCAGCTTCATATTTAAAATCATGTGGGGGTGAACTTCTAAAACATACTGATGCCAGCTGAAGTTGAATCATTAGAGATGGGGTGGTATTGGTAGCTTTGAAAGCTCTCATGTGATTCTGATACACAGCCTGGGGTTGAGAGGCTGTGTCCTAGGGAAGAGCTGGGTTTGGGTTGAGACAAGCAACTGGAGGGAGAAAGCAGGAGCGTTTGGCCCAAATAAGACTAGGAGGCCACGAGAGCTGTGGGAACCGTGTCAGGAAGTGCTGCAGTGGGGCCGTGAGTTTGGAGGATGGCAAGGGGTGGTAACTGAAAGGACAGGGACAGTGGGCATTTGTGACCTTGAGGGTACAGGTAAAATTGTTGCCCAAAATTGTTTCCATCCAAAGCCATCATCTGTTGGGCAGACAAATGAAGACATGGCCAAGTTCAAGGAGGCATTTGCATGCCACTCATTAATCTGACCTAGCAGTTTATAGACAGACAAGTACATGGAATTACTATACATGGAGTTAACTCAGTGTCCTAAGCAAAAAAGAGGGAGGGAGAGACCTACTTTGCAGAACTCCTGGAAGAGTTAAGCGAGGCAAGGAGCAGAGCAAATGTATATGAGTAAATTTTGTAAACACTTAGAACCTTACAAATATCACTTGTTCTGTTAACTGGGAGTCTTACCTCATCAGGAAGTTCCCTTTTATCCTTTGAAATACTCCATGTGATCAGTTCCCAGAGGACTGGCATTCAGTGTTAGGATTAGTCTAGCTTGGCTTAGGGCGTGTGCTTCCTTCCAGCCTGCTTCTCTCTAATAAAAGCTTCTTAAGAAGGGAGCCTCTTTCCTCCCCCACTCTTTTTAAGCTCCATCTTGACTGACAGCATGTTGCACTCTTTAATGAAGCAAATAGATACTGACTTGCTAGGCTGACTTTGGACTCCCTCTTTACTCTTGGTTTCTGAACTAATATTCTTTTCTGCGTATTCCTTCAAGGAATTCTGCAAAGAAGAGTGGATTAAAAAGATATATATGAATTGAGGATTATTTTCCCCAGTGTAAACTTAGGTTAAAACTTACTGTGAGAGTGATAATCATATTGTAACCATTAGACTTTTTTGATGAAAAAATTTTCTGTGTAGTCATACAAATACCTGCCTATTTGAACATAATACTATAAAGCAAATATCGTAAACTTTGTTTCTAAAATTTTAAGTCTCAAAGTATTTTACAGTATTTATGATATAACTTCACTTTCACTTTTCACTTTTCTGCATTGGAGAAGGAAATGGCAACCCACTCCAGTGTTCTTGCCTGGAGAATCCCAGAGATGGGGTCGCACAGAGTCGGACACGACTGAAGTGACTTAGCAGCAGTAGCAGCATGATATTCTTTAGTGTGAGTTACCTGCTTTGATTTGCCTACTATTGGGTTGGCCAAACATTTCCTTCAGGTTTTTTTTTGTAACATAGAAAAACTCAAATGAGCTTTTTGGCCAACCGAGTAGGTTAAAGTGGCCATTAAAAAGGGGAGACTAGCTTTCATCCCCTGCACTGTGCTGTGTACACAGTAGGTGCTCAAGCAATGCAAACTATTGAGTTCAGATACAAGATCTGTATGTGTACCTTTTGTTACTCCTTACAGCTTTAAAAATTAATGTTATCTTAAGCCTCCAGTTGTTTCAAATTGTTGGTATTAATTAGAAGTTAAGAAATAAAAGCCACTCCAGTATTCTTGCCTGGACAATTCCATGGACAGAGGGGGGCTACAGTCCATGGGGTCAAAAAGAATCAAACATGACTGAGCAGCTAACACTTTTACTTTTTTCACTGTCACACTGAAGACAGTTCCCTCTCAGAGGAGAGGCTGAGTCAAGGTTTCTGGGCAACCACAAGCTGATGGAGCGCCCATGGACTGAATACACTCCATGAAGCCACATCTCTCTCTAGTGTTGATCTATAGAAAAAGATGGAATGCCTGAGCAAAAGAGTGCATTTTAGTATTGCTGATGTGGGGTGATTACTCCATTGGGTGAATACATTTCTGTTGTCCTGCCATACTTCCTGGAGTCTAAATTCACACTCATCTTGTTTGGGTTGCTGTAGGTGTGTATAGAGGGTGAAGTCCCTTTCACTTGAAGCCAGATAGATGCAGTAACAAACCAGATGTTGAATGCTGCAGTTGACAGAATTCTGAGAGATAAACCCTAGACTTACTGGCTTGAGTTGTTGTATTTTGTGATGAGGGTTTTATTTGGCTTTTGAGAGTTGTAGGAAAATCCATATGTGTTCTCTTGGCTTTGGTCTGTTTTCTTGTCCGTCATGTTCTGCTACTCTGGCAGTTTATTGCCTAACTCTGGTTCTCAAGGTCTCCATCCCAATAACTGAAGGCCTGGACGTGATTGCCATGTTGACGGATGATGCCACCACTGCCACCTGGAATAACGAAGGACTGCCCAGTGACAGGATGTCCACGGAGAACGCCGCTATCCTGACGCACTGTGAGCGCTGGCCCCTGATGATCGACCCCCAGCAGCAAGGGATTAAGTGGATCAAGAATAAGTATGGGACTGACCTGAAAGTCACACACTTGGGCCAGAAAGGGTATGTGAAATCTGAAGGGTTGATTTTCTGTTGAGCTGCTGGAAATGGGTTTCAGTTTTACCAAGTCTTGGCATTTCTTAGACCTCTCTGCCACTTTGGAATGTGATAATTTGGTACAACTTGTTTACCTGCCTACTCACATAAAGGATCTCTGAGTTTACATTGGGTGGTGTGCATCCACCCAAGTTAGTTGGAAGGTTAGAACACACACTGCATGTGAGAGGAAAATTTTCCTATGGCCAGGAATGGAAATACGATGCATTACAATCCTTCTTTAGGACTTTGGCATGTGGTAACCCAAGCATTGTCAACTGCCCCTATAAGCTTAATGAGGTTTCCATTTACATTGCTAAATATGTACTTTGCCTACAGTGGAGCTCTAACACAGTTCAATTCCCAAGGTTGAGTGCCTGAAGATAATTTTTTTCAGTCAAGTTTTGCATATCACTTTTGAGAACTGAATCTGCTCTGAGATTTTCTGTCACTCGGTTGGCATGACAGTATTTTCTGATAACTACAGAGCTGTCTTGCATGTAGTTGGTCTTCAGTTAATGCCAAATAAATAATTTTAGACTTACTTATACTTCATTTTACCCCTCCATCATTTTTTGACATGTAAAATGAAATAAGGAATGTCTGCAGTTGTGCAGATAAATGGTCTCCTTGCTTATCTGAATACTCGGAGGAAATTATTTTTAAAGGCAAAAGACTATTTTTGGAAAGTGGCAATGAAATCCAGTGATAGTTCTCTACATGACTGAATCTAAATGTTTAAAAAAATGAAAATTTGATAAAACCACAAAGCATTTAATTTGAATTTTTCTCAAGAGGACCTGTTAAAATAATTTAAATTTATAATGTTTGGGTGCATGCTAAGTCACTTCATTCATGTCCAACTCTCTGTGACCCCACAGGCTGTAGCCCTCCAGTCTCCTCTGTTCCATGGGGATTCTCCAGGCAAGAATACTGGAGTGATTTGTGTTTGGGTGGGTTCTATTTATTTTAACCATGATTATTGTCAAAAGTAATTTACACATAGACTTATTAGTTCACACTACTGAATTTCATTTTGGAACACATAACTGAAATTTATCTCAATCTAATCTTTAATTTCCATGTATTTTCATTGAATAAAATACTACTTTATAAAACAGTCTTCTCAATATTTGCATTAAACTAAATATAATTGAGCATAAATAATTTTGGATACTTTCCCTATGCTTATTTACATTTCTCTTGATTCTGACTCAATTTTAAGGTTTTTGAATGACATTGAAACTGCTTTGGCCTTTGGAGATGTCCTCTTAATTGAAAACCTTGAGGAAACAATAGATCCAGTCCTTGATCCATTGCTTGGTAGGAACACGATTAAAAAAGGAAAGTAAGTATTATTGAATAATAATTTTATTATTAAAAATAATCTTAAAGGTAATTTTTGATGTGTTTTGCACTACACGTGAGTTTGATCATCATATTTAATAATAATTTTGTTATTAAAAATAATCTTAAAGGTAATTTTTGATGTGTTTTGCACTACACGTGAGTTTGATCATCAGCTTCTATTTCATGTCCTCCTAGTCAAATGTAATATATTGAAATATTCTTTTTTTAATAATTTTATTTATTTATTTATTTATTTATTTATGGTTGTGCTGAGTCTTCGTTGCTATGTGGGCGTTTCTCTAGTTGCAGTGAGCAAAGGCTGCTCTCTAGTTGGGGTCCGTGGGCTTCTCATTGAGGTCCCTTCTCTTTTTGTGGAGCATGGACTCTAGGGTGTGTGGGCTCAGTAGTTGCAGGTCCTGGGCTCCAGGTCATGGACCCAGTAGTTGTGGCACACAGGCTTAGTTGCTATGCGGCATGTCTGATCCTCTTAGACCAAGGATTGAACCCGTGGCTTCTGCATTGGCAGGTAAATTCTTTACCACTGAACCATCGAGGAAGTCCTATTGAAATATTCTTGGTGATTTTTCTGAGTTTCCATTCCAAGGCTCCTACATTCCAAGACCAAAGCAAACTTGACATGATCCAGATGTTCAAACTATTTTTTTGGTAGATTGAGATTCATGTTACCCAAATCCTGATTTATAGACCCCAATAATTCATTGACACAAATATGAGAGTATTTGCTCCTTTATTACTTCATACCAGTGTTTTTCTACCATCAGTACTTTGGAAAACATCTTTAATATATTTGCCTCAAATGCGTATCATTTGTATCCATATTTTCTTAGTATTTTTGCTTTTTATTAATTTATTGTTAGTTTCTAATGTACAGCAGAGTGACTTAGCTTTTCTGTTTACATATATCCCCTCTTTTTTTGGATTTTCTTCCCACTGAGGTCACACAGAGCACTGAGCAGAGTCCCCTGAGGTATACAGTAGGTTATTATCTATTTTATACATAGTTTCAATAGTGTATACATGTCAATACCAATCTCCCAATGTATTTCATGCCACCCCTGTTGGTATCCATGTTTTTTCTCTACATCTGTTTCTCTATTTCTGTTTTGCAAATAAAACCATCTATACCATTTTTCTAGATTCCACATATATGCATTAATAATATACAATATTTGTTTTTCTCTTTCTGACTTACTTCATTCTTTACACCAGTCTCTAGGTCCATCCACAGCTCTGAAAATGGCACAATTTCAGTCCTTTTTATGGCTGAGTAATATTCCATTGTATATATGTACCACATCTTCTTTACCCATTCCTCTGTTGATGGACATTTAGATTGCTTCCATCTCCTGGCATTGTGAATAGTGCTGCAATGAACATTGAATTGTATGTGTCTTTGGAATTATGGTTTTCTCAGGGTATATGCCCAATAATGGGACTACTGAGTGATATGCTAGTTCTGTTTTTAGTTTTTTAAGGAACCTCCATACTATTGTCCATAGTGGCTATATCAATTTACATTCCTACCAACAGTACAAGAGGGTTCCCTTTTCTCCACATCCTCTCTAGCATTATTATTTGTATATTTTTTTGATGATGGCCATTCTGACGTGTGTGAGGAGATACCTTATTGTAGTTTGATTTGCATTTCTCTAATGATTGGTGATGTTGAGTATCTTTTCATGTATATGTTGGCCATCTATATGTTTTCCTTAGAGAGATGTCTATTTAAGTATTCTGTCCATTTGTTGATTGGGTTGTTTGTTTTTTATATTGAGCTACATGAACTTTTTGTTTATTTGGGAGATTAATCATTTGTCAGTTGTTTCGTCTGCAAATATTTTCTCCCATTCTAAGGGTAATCTTTTTGTCTTGTTTATAGTTTCCTTTGCTGTGCAGAAACTTTTAAGTTAAATTAGATCCCATTTGTTTATTTTTGTTTTTACTTGAATTACTCCAGAGGATAGGTCAAAAAAGATACTGCTGCAATTTGTGCCAGAGAATTTCCTTTCCTGTAAGAGTTTTGAACTGTCTGGCCTTACATTCAGGTCTTTAATCCATTTTGAGTTTACGTAATGTTTTTAAAAACCTATTTTAAATCCACTTTTTTTTTTTTAAACTCAGCCTCACCCCAAGTCATAGCATCTACAAAATCTTGTGTTTACTGTGCTAGTTCTCTTTTTTTCCTATATGTTTAAAATATTAATATGTATATATCTCATATATATACACACACACATATATATAAACCATTAGGACAAAAAAAAAAATGCACTAGTGGATCCCTAAGAGCATCCCCATACCAGCAGCAGTGGTAGACTGGGCACTCCTGCTGAGACCTGCTTGATGTTCCAAGTGCTGCTGCTGCCCTGAACGCCATCTCTCCATCACATCCTTCCAGGGACACTGAAACCATTACCCAGCAGGCAACATGTCACTGTAATTGTGTAAAAGGTCAGACCCAGTAGTTCTGCCTCTAACGGAGCCTGGGTGGGCTCACTGGAGATTGTGCTGTGTCCAAAGCTCTCTGTTCCTCTTCCCTCAAGAAACCAACATCGCCATGGCTTATTCCACTGAATTTCCTTCTCTTTTTTGTTGTTTTTCTTCACAGAGGTGTAATTTCAGAACTTCCCCAACACTTTTCTTCTTTGGCACCCACTGTCTGCCTCAAAGGTGTCTTGTCTCTCTTTTCATCACTGGATTATTCCTGTCAATTTAAAATGAAAATAGGTCTGCTTAAGGGTGACTAACTTCTATTTTGTAAAAAGTCTCTAACTGATTAGTATTTATTATACAATTCACCAATTAAATCCATTTACAGTGAGTGACAACTTATAATTGTTTAATAAACCAAAATTTACCCAGACATGCGTTTAGAAGAGTCTAATAAGACATTTGACAAACTGCAGCTCTGACATAAATAAAACTGTGGCCGTATCTGATGTGTTAAAAATACAGTGCAAAATCTTGGATGTCACTAAAGTGAAATCCTTGTTATTAAGGTTCTGACTCTATTATGAAGACACAGAATTTTTGTCAGTGAATTATAGATTTTCTTAGCTTTAACTTGAACCTTTGGTGACACAATTTAGGTGTAAGAAATTCTGCCTTTCTTTCTCTATCTTTATATATATTTTTTAAATGTTTACTTATGTATTTGGCTGTACCCAGTCTAGTTACAGCATGGGGAAACTCTGACCTTGTTGTAGCAGGTGAGATGTGGGATCTTTTAGTTTCAGCCCTCGGGATCTTTAGTTGTAGAACGCAAACTCTTACCTGCATCATGTGGGACCTAGTTCCCTGACGAGGGATTGAACTCAGGCCCCCTGCATTGGAAGCATGAGTCTAGCCACTGACTCACCAGGGAAGTCCCTATATATGTGTGTATATATTGAAATCTAAAACATCCAGAGACTGATAAATTTGAGTCCTGATTTTTTCTCAGTATGGATATAGTTAAGTATAAGAATCCCAGAGGATTTTTTTTTTTAATTTCAGAAACAATTTGTTTTACATAGAGCATCAAATTCTTTATCACAAAATATCACACCAGGGCAGTTTATTCCAAATTAACAATCTTTCCTGAATCTGTGCTAAGAAAAGTTATGACCTACCTAGACTGCATATTAAAAAGCAGAGACATTACTTTGCCAAAAATGGTCCATCTAGTTAAGGCTATGGTTTTTCCAGTAGTCATGTATGGATGTGAGAGTTAGGCTATAAAGAAAGCTGAGTGCCAAAGAATTGATGCTTTTGAACTATGGTGTTGGAGAAGACTCGTGAGAGTCCCTTGGACTACAAGGAGATCCAACCAGTCCATCCTCAAGGACATCAGTCCTGAGTGTTCATTGGAAGGACTGATGTTGAAGCTGAAACTCCAATACTTTGGCCACCTGATGTGAAGAGCTGACTCATTTGAAAAGACCCTGATGGTGGGAGGGATTGAAGGCAGGAGAAGGGGACGACAGAGGATGAGATGGTTGGATGGCATCACCAACTCAATGGACATAAGGTTGAGTAAACTTCCGGAGTTGGTGATGGACAGGGAGGCCTGGCGTGTTGCAGTCCATGAGGTTGCAAAGAGTTGGATATGACTGTGTGACTGATCTGAACTGATTAGCCTTTATAGAATTGATCACGTCATTGTAGCTGTTTTTAAAAGTTGAAGAAAATTTTAAATAATCTGTAAGAACATAATAAATGGAGTTTATTGCATGCAGTTTTTACTGTAACAATTCTAACTCCTAAACTCTTTCATAAGAGTGGCAACAACTACTTTTATGAAGGTAATTTTAGTTGTGTACCTCCAGTTTTCTTTAGATGTTTTTAGAGTTCGGTTATTCAGAGAATCTGAGTCCTTGCAAACTCTGTCAGTCACTGAATAAGGCTTCTCTGAGAACTGCTAGAGGCAGGCCGTCTACTGGCGGCCAGTGATTCAGAACACAAGGCACAGACCGTGCCCTTAAGGAAGCTACATTTCCTGAGGGGGAAGTCAGACCTATGCAGGCACAAGTAATACATGCCGTGGGTATGATGATGGAAGTCCACATGATAGAGAATCGTCTGCTCTGTAGTGGAGACTTGGAAAGGCTTTGTATTACATTTACATTTAGTGTGAATCGTAAAAGGTCAGTGGGCATTTGTCAGACAAATGGGAGAAGAGAATTCTGGAATGAGAGGACTAATTCCAAGTAGTAAAACACACAAATCAGCCCAGCAACTTTGGGGAACTGCAGTTAAGATTCAAATATGTGGAAAGCCCCATTTTGGGGAAAAAGGAGTATGGACTGAGAAAGGTGGGACTGGATTGTCAGGCCCCAGAATGTGGGTATCCTTCGGTACCCACCAATGACCCATAGGTTGGTCTTTTCCCTGGTTACAATGATTCTTCCCCAAGCACATTGAAGGGGTGCATTCCAATCTATAATGCTAGTTAACAACAACCATGGTTTTTGACCAAGGGACCTTGCCTTCACGGAG